CACACACACACACACACACACACACACACACACACTAGAACCATGCTGCCACCTAGCGTCAGTCTCAGGTACACGTCTGCTTTGACCATGGCGTGACGTAACGACTTCCGCAAAACAAGCCAATCAGCTGTCAGCGGCCGAGACGGTTTGAAATTGAAGCGGGCGGAAGCGGAGGAAAATAAACTAAAGCAGCTGTTTGAGCTCGGACACAACTTTATCTGATTCAATGAACTTTTAATAGTTTCAAACCAAGATGTCCGGCCGCGCTTGCGTCAGACTGACGTGTTTTTCATGTCGTGTGTTGTAGTCGGACTGAGATAGGTGGACTAACCGTTAGCTCTTTTGTTTTTAGCATTCGGCTAACATGTCTTTATTTAGCGTACAAGCGAGGAAGCACACGGCGTATTACGACCATCTCATGTCGACGGCCAGGACGTCGGTGGGGAGAGGGCGCCCGGCGGAGAGGAAAACATCCGACACGACGCTGGAGAAAAGTGGGACAACATTCGGAGAATCTGCGTGTGAGGACAGCAGGACTTCCGAGAGAAGCCGACAGGTAAACAGGACCTATGTCGTCTCCGTGCTGTCGAAGAGCGGCGGTGGGCAGCAGACACCTCTCCGGAGCCGGCTCACCCTGCAGAGGAGGTCAAGGAGGAGGACCGGGGGCGAGTCAGGGGAGAAAAGTGGGACTGAAAGCAGCCAGAACAGCACTCCGGCTCCGGAGAAGAGACTGACCCTGCAGCGGAGGACAAGGACCCCCTCCATGGATAAAAGCGCCCAGGGGCAGCGTGGGCTCAGCGGCGCTGGTGTGCAGCCACCGCCGAAAGTCCTGGGTGAACCAAACGGCAGGACCCCGAGTTTGTTCAGGTCTGCGAGTGTGAGAGAAGCTGCCTCCAAGAGTAAAAGCAGAGACACTCATGTGGAAACCCAGGGCAGGCTGGCACACAGCAAGACACCCTCCGCTTCATCTTCCTCCACAAGACAGCTGGAGGACCAGGCCCAAACATTTAAAACCCCCACAAAAAAGACATCGTTTGAGAAGATCGCAGCCAGGAGGGACGTGTTCGAGAGACTGGCAGGAAAAGAAGTCCCTAGAGTAGTGGCGGTCAAGTCTGCAAGTCTAGAAAGACCCAAGTCTCGAATGCAACAAGCTCAAGACAGTAAACCTGCGCCAGCTCCTCGGGTCAGCAAGGCGTCCGCAGGTGTGCACAGGCCCAACCCTGCGCCACAGGTGATCAGGACATCCAGCTCCGACCAGAGGGGAGACGTGACCCAGGCCAGGACCTCCACCCCTGCTCCTGCTCCAACAAGAACCGAGCAGCCCCTGTCTCGACCCAGTGAGGCTGTGAAGCAGCAGGATTCATTAAAGATGGAGGACAGTGCAGTGACTGTGGCTGTCCGTGTCAGGCCTTTCAGTGCCCGGTAGGTAACACACTGCTCACCCGATCAGTCTGCAGGTAACAGTGTGGTTTATTTAAAAGTAACTGCTTCCTCTTCTGGACACCAGGATATACAACTAATGATAAACCAAGGTGCAGTTAAATCAGGTCTCATTTGGTTCAACTGTTTATCCTGGACAAGCAAAGACATTGCTCAGAAAAGGGAGTTGAACAACTTAAAGGAATATATAGAAATGTTCTCAGCATCAAATAAAAACTAGGCTCATTCTCTCAATGACTACTTCATTTAATCCACTGGTTAATTGGCAGAAAAAAAACTGAAGCAGCTATTTTGATTATAGATTCATATCTAGCCATTTTTCAAGCAGCTATGCTTGTACTTGAAGTTTGAATTATAATGAAATATTTCTAATGTTACTTTATACGCAGATTGTATGGAATCTACTTATTCACATGTTTAGCTTGTGGAAGTGCTCAGTTTTAAATCCCTTTCTGCAATCATGTTTTTGAATATTTCTATTCTTTAAATAGGGAGAAGGCAGAGAAGGCATCGCAGGTCATTTTCATGAATGGCCAGGAGACCGTTGTCCAACACCCTGAGTCAAAACAGAGCTACTCCTTTACCTATGACTTCTCTTTGTGCTCGGTGGATGAGAGCGAGTCCACATTTGCCAGCCAGCAGATGGTGTACGAGACACTGGCTAAACCTCTGCTACTAAGGGCCTTCGAAGGATTCAACACCTGTCTGTTTGCTTATGGTCAAACCGGCTCTGGAAAATCATACACGTGAGTATTTTTCTGTTTTTTACACTCATCCTTTTCCCGTTGAGTCACTCTCTTCTCATCCACTCACTTCTACACAATGAATCATGATCAACTGACAGTTTGAATTGTTTAAAATTGTTTCCTTGCAGGATGATGGGCTTTGGAGAAGAAGCAGGGGTTATCCCACGGTTCTGTCGTGAGCTTTTTTCTAGATTGACCTCAATCGAAAATAAAGAGGTAAAATGTAGAAGCATTTATTTTGTTTTCTAACGCTCGACTGAATGAACTAGAGCCCTAAAAGACATAAATGTTTACAATACATTCATGAATTATCAAATGAGACGTTTGACTTGTTATGTTTCAGGTCAAATGTCATGTAGAGATGAGCTATTTTGAAGTTTACAATGAGAAGATCCACGACCTCCTGGTTACCAGAGATGATCCAAACCAAAGGAGGATGCCTGTGAGTAATTTGCAGTTGATAACTCAGTTTTGTTGTCCAACTTCGTGTGGAAAGTACTTTGTCTGTCTAGATAACATTGAACATCTTCTAGATCATATCTCAGATGTGCATTAAGTCTTTGATTTATAAGAAAATATGAATAATTCTAGATAAAACCTAGTTGATTTGTGTTTCCAGCTGCGGGTGAGAGAACATCCCGTCCATGGTCCCTACGTTGCTGAACTTTCTACGTAAGAAACACTTATTACTCTTTGTATAACACAATAAGAACATTATTGAATGGCGTCATTATCAGAATTGCTCACTTTGTCATTTCTTCACAGGAATGTTGTGAGCTCTTACAATGACATCCAGGTGGGTTTGAAACTTATCAACTTACCAAGATACATGTTGCTCTTATGAACCACGTTGAATTATTAAGCGAGTTAAGGTTCGATGTTACAGATATCAATGTCTGTGCATGTGCATGTGCACTTGAAGATTAAGCTTTTCAGAGATACAGTATATTCAAAGGGTAACATGGAAAATAAAACATACTGCTGATATCACTTGAGAGATTCACGCTGTTTTGTTTTAGGGTTGGCTGGAGCTTGGCAACAAGCAGAGAGCCACAGCAGCTACAGGAATGAACGACAAGAGCTCCAGATCTCACTCCGTCTTCACCCTGGTTATGACCCAGACCAAAGTATGACCTGTGGACTTATCTGTATCATCACCAATTGCACAACAAAATAGTTTAAGTCTGAAAATATTTTATATAATTGCAAATAATTCATCAGAGACACACTGATAAATTTGGGCTGTTGAATGTGACACAGGTAATGAGTTTGTGTTTGTGTGCAGACTGAGTTTGTGGAGGATGAGGAACATGACCATAGCATCACCAGCAGGATCAACCTGGTGGACTTGGCAGGCAGCGAACGCTGTAAATCGGCTCAGACGAGTGGAGATCGACTCAGGGTACAAACACAGACGCACTGAGCTTTGGCTTTGTTGAAGATTCTATCCTATTAAAAACTATGCATTTCCTGTGTCATTATAGGAGGGCGCTAGCATTAACAAATCCCTGCTCACCCTTGGAAAGGTCATCTCTGCTCTGTCTGAGCAAGCACTGACCAGGAAGAAGGTCTTCACACCGTACAGGGAGTCTGTCCTCACATGGTGAGAGATCAGGACGCTTGTGTGCACACTATTTTTGTATACTCTCATAATTAAGAGAACATTAGAAGCATGAAGTCAATGTTGTTTCCCACTTTCATACTGTACAAAACTTGTGTGGGATTATTTCTACATCCAAGAAGGAGTTAAAAAGAAGAATTCTTACAAATAAAGA